TCTGCGTACCAGCCTCTAGCAGCCACCTAGGTAATTGTCTGCCCCATCTCCCAAACAAAAACTCAGAGGAGGAAAAAATAAATGTGTCAGGTGCTGCACTGCCGGCCCCAAGACCACCGGCCCACCAGGAAATTCCCCAATATCCCGGAGAGCCAGCCCGGCCCTGATCTCAGCCTATCCAATTTACAGTAGGAAAGCAGTGAGAAGCTAATGTGCATGCGTGGCATAACACTGCACTGCACCAATTAGCATCTCCTCGTAGAGATGCACTCAATCAGTGGGAAGTGTTCAGCATCTCCATGCAGAGCGTGCACACTATGCATCAATGACACAGGAAGCACCTCTAGTGGCCGTCTGTGTGAAAAGGCAGTGTTTATATTGCTGAGCCTGTAGGAATGTGCTATAGACACCAGATCGCAGTCAATACTAGGAGTGGTCATTACGAATACACAGTGATTCCCTTTGGTCTTTGTAACGCCCCAGCAGTGTTTCAAAAGTTTATTAATGATGTCCTACGAGAGTACATACACAGATTGGTAATCATGTATTTGGTCCATATATTAATATATTCACCCGATTTGCATACTCATCACATGCATGTTAAATTAGTTTTGAAAACTCTTCTTGTTAATGGTCTATATTGTAAACTCGAAAAATGTTTGTTTGATCAATCCAAAGTCCAATTCTTGGGTTATATAATCTCTGCTAAGGGTTTTCGTATGGATCCCAAGAAACTTTCTGCTATCATGGAATGGCCTCTACCTCAGGGTTTGAAAGCCATTCAGCGTTTTCTTGGTTTTTAGAATCATTATGGGCGCTTTATTAAATGTTTTTCTTCCATTGTAGCACCTATAATCCAAATGACTAAAAAAGATGGTAATACTCATGTCTGGACCCCGGAAGCGCTTGAGGCTTTTGAATTTCTTAAGACTGCATTCGCTTCTGCTCCTATTTTACAGCATCCTGTCCCTTCTTTGCCTTTTATTCTTGAAGTTGATGCTTCAGATATTGGGGTGGGTGCTATACTGTCTCAAAGAGAATCTCCAGAGAGGCCTTTACATCCGTGTGGTTTCTTTTCCAAGCAGATGTCCAAAGCCGAAAATAATTATGACATAGGCAATCGGGAACTCCTTGCCATTATTTTAGCACTTAAGGAATGGAGACATCTTTTGGAGGGCACTAAGGATCCTATCCTCATAATTACCGATCATAAAAACCTTTCCTACCTTAGTGAAGCCAAGAGATTGTCTTCTAGGCAGGCCAGGTGGTCTCTGTTTTTATCTTGCTTCAATTATATCATCACCTACAGACCGGGTGATCGTAACACTAAAACTGACGCTCTGTCCAGACAGTTCGAAACAACTGACAAACAGGAGCTTGATGATACCCCTGTCATTTCCCCGGACAGAATAATCGCTACTACTGTTCTTTCTATTTCTTCGTCCATCTTGCAAGTCATACAGGCTCAACAAAACAAGGCACCTAGACAGAAACCTGCTGATAAATTGTTCGTCGATGTTCCTGAAAGACAGGAAATCATGTCACTCTATCATGACACCAGAACCGCTGGTCACCCTGGTATCGCTAAAACCTTAACAGCAGTTTCTAGATATTTCTGGTGGACCTCCTTGTGCAAGGACGTCACCGATTACGTATGGGCATGTATTACTTGTGCCAGTATGAAGTCTTCGCATAGAGTTCCTTGTGGGTTGTTGCATCCGTTACCTATACCCGAGAGGCCTTGGTCTAATCTGTCCATGGATTTTATTGTTGAGTTGCCCCCTTCAAATGGTAAAACAGTCATCCTGATGATCGTGGATAGATTTTCTAAGATGGCTCATTTTGTCTCTCTTGTCAAATTGCCCTCATCCAAGGAACTCACCTCTATCTTCGCCAGGGAGGTGTTTAGGTTACACGGTATACCAGAGTCTACCATGTCCGATAGGGGTAGCCAGTTTATTTCTAGATTCTGGAAAGCCTTTTGTTCAGAGATGGGTATTTCTCTCTCGTTTTCCTCAGCTTACCACCCCCAGTCCAATGAAGCCGCTCCTGTGTAACCATTATACTCAATATGTTCCCCCTCCTCCTCCTGTTTCTGTGGAGGGTCATGAGGAATTTGAGGTGGCTGCCGTGCTTGACTCTCGTTTTCTCCGGGGTCGCCTCCAATACCTGGTGCATTGGAAGGGATATGGGCCGGAGGAATGTAGTTGGATTTCCGCTGAAGCTGTTCACGCTCCTCGCCTTCTGCGCTCCTTCCATTCTCGTTTTCCCGCCAGGCCGGATCCTCCCCGCCCGGTGGGCGTGTCTTCAGGGGGGGTACTGTAGCGGTACTTACCCTCTCCAGGGGCCGGCGAGGTCCTCTTTCCCCGCCGCACACGGTTCTGCAACTGCACGATGGGGAGATCAGGAAGGAGTGCACTGACCGCGAGAAGCGGCCACGTGACTCGCCTGGCACTGGGAGCGCACTGCGCATATCGGGCGCGCTTTTAAAGGGACAGTGGGAGCCTAAAATCAAAAAGGTCTCCCATTGGCCCATGTCATTCCACATTCCCCATACACTCATGTTTTGGGGGCGTGGATATGACAGGGGCCAATCAAATTAAACCAATAGGTATTTATACTCACCTTTCCCTTAGCTCCCTGCCCTTTCGTGGTTTCTTATTCAGTTCCCTTTAGTGCTTGCTTCGTGTAGTAGTGGTTTTTTCGTGCTTGACCTTGGCTTTGTACCTGACCCCGTTTTTCTCTTTTTCCCTGCTTTGTCTTGTTCGCAGGTTTGACAGGGGCCAATCAAATTAAACCAATAGGTATTTATACTCACCTTTCCCTTAGCTCCCTGCCCTTTCGTGGTTTCTTATTCAGTTCCCTTTAGTGCTTGCTTCGTGTAGTAGTGGTTTTTTCGTGCTTGACCTTGGCTTTGTACCTGACCCCGTTTTTCTCTTTTTCCCTGCTTTGTCTTGTTCGCAGGTTTCCTGTCTCCTGTGTACCAGTCCTTGGCTAGTTCTTGTTTACGCTGTTTCTCTGTTCCCTTGACCTCGGCTCGTTCTTGACTCTGTCTTTTCCTGTCCACGTCGAGTCCGGCCATTCTAAGGCCCGGTAAGACGTATCTTGTTATCTTGTCTCACGTTGGATTAATCTTGCGTGTTGGGGTATACTACTGTGACACATATTCAGGAACCTTGATAATGGCTCCTCATATCTAGCATGGAGTAGTATGAACCTCACTCAGGGATATGTAGGTGATGTGGATCCTCTCTGTATATGTAGAAAAGAGAATGAACACAATAGTGTATATGTAGAAAAATTAGGAGTGTAAAAGCAAATTTAAAACTTGAACTTGGTTCAACTCAGTGCCTAATGCTTAACTCAGGATTATTAACTAAATATACCATTCCACATCAAGAACTCTATCCGCAGGGACTGCTGCTTCCAAAAATATTCATAAAATAAGCATAAATATGTTTATATCCAGGCTATCAGTGATGTCAGCTTGAAGCAACACTAACACAGTATGGAGTGCCTTCATGTTTGGGTCCCCCAAAATGTGAATCTGGGGCTTGTGTCCTGCTCTTCTCATCAAAAGGGCTGGGCTTTCTCCATTTTTATTACCCTAACCATAATACTTAATTCATTAAGCTTGAATGTGGTCTAAAGTTCTTTGAATGTAATAGTTTTTTTTTATAACAGTCAGAGCTGCCAGTTACTAGTCCAACATGTTCAAATGTGTCTACAAAAAAAAAAATGGTATTTTCTAACAGGCATTCATTGCTGTGACATCAAATAGGAAAATTTCTTGACCGGAGCAGAATTACTCCATAGGAAAACGTAGAAACATTAAGCATTAAAGAGTGCCCGACCCTTTGGTCTCATTTAAAATAAGCATCATAAGGGTCCTAGTTCTATGGCTCCACTCAAAATAAGGATCAGATGAGCCCAATCTTCTGGCCCTATGTGTAAGAAGACCAAACCATCAACCCTCCCATACCTCCTCAAATATAACCCTACCTACCTCACTCACACTAATAAGTACTAGCGAGAGGGGAATGTCATTAATCAAAATATAAAAAAGTATTCGTACTTAATACACTTCTAAACAAAACCATTAGATTCTGATGCAACTTGTAAAACTAAAAAAAAAAATTTCTGATTCACAAAATGCCAAAACAGAACACACAACATGAAAACAAAAATCTGCTCCCTCAATGTATGACTGAGACGTGCAACACTGACTGCAATTCAAGATGGCAGTTAGTTTTATACATGCACTTGATGTCATGTGGGTCATGATAGTATATATGGATCTTTTTAATGAGTTCCAATCGTAATTCATTTTACCAACTATAGTGTATTCACTGGCGAACACTTTGTTGCAGCATGTGCTGAGGACTTTGGAGTTCTATGGTATTTGCTTAAAGCCTAGACTAGAGTTTATCAGTGTACCATGAATGGTGCACTCGTGCTATGTGGACTGGTGGCAATACTCTGGTGTCCACAGATGCTTAACACCAAGTCCATCCCGGGACAGTTGGACATGAGCCTCGATTCAGGGTGGTCCTGCCAAAACTGCATTTAGAAGCTGTTACCCCATATTGCACAGTAAACATTTTTCTTCACATTTACAATATCAGTGGGCTTTGAAAAACAACTCTGGTCATAAACCAATTATTTGTTTTCTATTCATTGTACAGGGACTTCTTCTGAATAAAACATTAAGCACTAACTTGCATATTTTGTCAAAACAGCAATGTTTGAAAAAAAAAAAATCCCATCTTATCTGTTTTTAAGCTGTTTTAAGCTGTTTTGATTTAAGTTTCTGTCAGTTTTTATCAGCTCGGCACATCTGAAGATTTAGTGAATAGAGCAATTTGTGATTCTGGTAAATCTGTTTGTGGTTTGTAGGTGTTTGAGGGGAGTGTCTTCATTGTATTTCTTAATTTTTAAGATTACTTCTTCTTTTTCCTGACACATAAATAGCAGGGTGCTTTGATATCCTAAAACACAAACGCCTCTTATCTGCCTTCAGTGACAAAGTGTTCTAGAAAGTTTTGAAATGAGTTTGAAAGTGATTGCCATCATTTCTGTACTTGTCATCCTTGTGATTGAGCAGTCTGTATCAGGTGTGTATCTTCTATACTGATTTATTTGTTTGCTCTTTCCAAATATACATATTTTGTCAATTGACGAATTGGAATGCATGATATATTACAATGTGTAATGATTGATACCATTACTACTGAGTTGTTGCTTTTTTAAATAAAGCATTTATCTGAAATGTGGGATGCATAGTTGTCAATGGACAGGACAAAACAGCAATTGAATATATTGATTGTCGTTTAAGTATATCTAAAAATAGTTATGTCAATAACAATATGTACATAATTTAAAATGTTAATTTACATAACGATGAGAGGACAAGGGCTTTAAAGTATATGTTATATGATATCTATCCTCTTGCATACTGGTATTATTTGCATAGAAAAACAAATACATTTTATATACTGTAGGCGAGCCATTTATGGAAATATAGATTCTAAAAATACCTAAAAGTAACTACTAACTACTAACTACTTGTGAATAGTTGTTTTCCCATCATCTTTAGTGGAGGAACTGCTATTAACCCTTTACTTTGCTAATTGAATCCAACCCTATGGTTGAATTAGAGTTTTAGGGCCACATACATTTAATGCTGTTGTCTGGCTAAAACAAGGAATCTACATTCCAAAAGACATTGTAAGCTACATTTTCAGAATGCAAATATACCGTAAAGTGTAGAAAGCGCACGCTCTGTATTAATCTTCCCTTTGGATGTTGTTCAGGAATCCTGCACTCAATGATCTTTGCAGGATCCTGTACAGCAAGGGTGCCCAAAAGGTAGATCCCTCAATGTTGTAAAACTACAGATTCCATAATGCTTTGTCATTCTAAAGGCATGCAAAGCATCATGGGAGATGCACTTTTGGGCACTCCTGCTGTACAGCATGGAATGGGGTAAGTGATGGATATAATTTTATGGTACATCTGTGCGAGGAAGTGACACTGTAAAGAGTTTTGCTGAGAAATTGTTTCTCCGTTGGGTGAAGACCCATTCTGAAGTGGAATGAAGGTTAATTGTAAATCTGTAATCATTTTTAATTCACACAGTGTAGGCAGTGAATGGGGTTGACCTATCTATTTTTAGTAAAACATGGAATTCCTAGCTCAATCAATGTAACCAAATGTGATGATCAATTAAAATCCTTATGGCCATATGTTACCAATCCAGTAATGGGTGGAGACAATGTCATACTGACATTACTGTATTTTGCATTTTTTATATCAGTATTCAAACAACAGAAACTGTACAATATTTGTATCTATTTTCTTTGCTATAACTACACTTTTGCAGTTAATTTGTTTGGTGGTAGGAGATTGGATGATATAATGGCAAAGATTAAATCAGTAAATCATGTCTTTTCAGTGACTACTGACTTTTATGCTGCTGAATGCCAATAGTGTGTTTATACTTTATGCAACATTTTTAAAGTCTTTGTACTTACAGTAAATATCATAGTGATAATACAATATATTGTTTGTTACCGTAGGCTTCACTCTAGATCCAGCCAGATCAGGTCGGAAATGTAAATGCTTGAAAGAGACAAGGAGCTTCATTTCTCCTGATCAGTATGAAAAGGTGGAAATTTTCGCTCCTGCAAGTAATTGTCCAAAAGCTGAAATCTTGTAAGTGTACATCTGTAATTAGTAGTTTCCCCTGGAAAGAGTTGTCAACGCATTGCTGTTTCTTCACAGCCCTCATGTCATCCTTTCCCTTCTGCTTTTCTTGTGCCTTAATACAAACCTCTCTCCCACCTAAGGTTGCCAGAATTCCATATTGTTTCAGGGCACTTGTGAATTCTGCATTGTCCCAGGCAGGAAAATGCTTCATTGTGTGTGCTAATGACAGCTGCAATCCCAAAGGAATGGCTGTGATTAGCTAATTGATTTTACATTGGGAACTCATGAGGTTCACATATTGGGGCAGTACTTTCAAGCCAGAGGCGGCTCTCTAATTAGGCAATTTAGACGGCCAACTAAGGCCTCACGCTGTGGCCTTATTACTGTGTCACCCCTCCTGTCACCCTCCTCTCACACTCCCACACTATGTCACCCCGCCTCACCCTTTCACGCCCTCACACCCTGTCAACCCCCCACACTATTTACTCTGTCTCTCACCCTGTCAACCCCCCACACTATGTCACCCCCTCTCACTATGTAACCCCTCCACACTGTCATCCCCCTCACACTAGGTCAACCACCTCTCATTGTCACCCCCCCTTTCACTCTGTCACCCCCCTCACACTATGTCACCCTCCCTCTCACTCTGTCACCCCCCACACACTGTCACCACCACACAGTCACCCCCTACACTGTCACCACCCCTCTCATTCTGTCATCCCCCTTCTCACTCTGTCACACCCCTCTCATTCTGTCACACCCCTTACACTAATGCAACCCTCTCACACTATGTCACTCCCCTCTCACACTAATGTCACTCCCTCTCACTCTGTCACCCCCTCTTACTCTGTCAACCTCCTCTCACACTATGTCACCCTCTCTCTCACATTATGCCACCCCCTCACACTGTCACTCCCCTCCCATTCTGTCACCCCCTCACACTATGCCATCCTTCCTCTCACTCTGTCACCCTCCCCCCCACATTAGGTCACCCCTCACACACTGATGTCACCCCCTCTCACACTATATCACCCCCCTTTCACATTATGTCACCCCCTCTCACACTATGTCAACCCCTCCCACACACTAATGTCACCCCGCTCTCACACTGTCACCCCTCTCACTCCATCACCGCCTCTTACTCTGTCACCCCCTCACACTATGTCACCCACCCTCTCACACTGATGTCACCCCACCTCTCACACTCTGTCACACACTCTGTCACACACTCTGTCACACACTCTGTCACCCCCTCCAAACACACTGTCATCTCTCTCCGCACACACTGACACCCCTCTTTGCACACACTGGCACCCCCCTCCATACACACTGTCACCCCTCCACACTCTGGCACCCCCCTCCACACTCTAGAACCCCCCTCCACACTCTAGAACCCCCTCCAGACTCTGGCAACCCCTCCATACACATTGTCACCCCCTCCATACACACTGTCACCCCCCCTCCATACACACTGTCAATCCCTCCAAACACACTGTCAACACTCTCCACACACACACTGCTACATTCACCCTATCACATTAATCCCTTAATCATGTCATACATACCTCCTCTCACCCTGTAACACTCTCTCTTCAAACCATGTCACACTCACCCTCCCTCATTTGGCACACTCAAGCCCCAATCCTGTCTTATTCACCCCCTTGCTCTTTTACACTCGCCCTGCCACAGTTACCCCTTTACTCACCCTGTTACCCACTGAAGGCAATCATTATATACACCATCACAAAACATAGCTTCATCAAAAACTCAGTGCCCAAAGGCCACAGGCAGTACACAAACATAGACATGCTCAGAGAAACATACATCCACATACAAGGATACTCACTGTCAGACACACACTCTCAGGCACACACACAGGTAGATAATGCAAGACACACTCAGAAATACACACAGCCAGATAAATACACATTGTGACTGATTTTTTTAAAAGTACAACCAAAATAAAAATATCTGTTTTCAGTGACCCCCTCACACCAGCACATGGTGTTAGTGGGGGCGTCATGTTTGAGTTTTGCCTAAGGCCTCACCAAGTCTAGAGCCGCTATTGAAATTCAAGCAATGTAAAAAAAAAAAGCAAAAATCTCAAGTGTCTGCAAAAATGTGGTGATCTGACAACCCAGTGCCCAGGTTTTCACTTAGGAAACAGACCTTTTATTCTTTCCTACTATGTTTACAATCTCATTTTCCTCATTGTAGACCTCCCTATTTAGGATGGATAGTCCCTATTTTGGGCCCAACCTGCTTCCTCTTTCTCGCTTCATTAACCTGCCTCCTCTCTCCCTTCCTTAATCCGGCCCCTCTCTCTCCGTTACTCAGCCTGCTTCCTCCTTCTCTCTCCATTACTCAGAGGTGTACCTAGAGCATTTGGCACCCGGTGCAGATCCTGTGTTTGGCACCCCCCACCCCGCCCTCTCCCATAAATTATTTTTAAAACACCCACAAAATTTTCAAATGTTTTTTTTTATATATTGCACAAATTCGTAAACTTTGTAATACCCCTGACATATGCCTTCTACAAAACCCCTGTCCTGCCCAGCCCCCCTCCTACAAAATCCCTGTCTTGCCCCCCTTCAACATACACCTGTACTGCCCCCTTCAACAAAACCCCTGCACCACCCTTCCACAAATCCCCTGCTCAGCCCTCCATATAAAAGACCCCTGTTCCAATACAAAACCCCGGCCCCGTTCTACAAAATCCCTGCACCATCCACACACACAGTTACAGGCAGGCAAGCACACATTTATGGGCAGACAGTCACACACACACAGTCACAGACAGGCAGTCACACACACAGTTACAGGCAGCATCACACAACCACAGGCAGACAGTCACACACACACAGTCACAGACAGACAGTCACACACACAGTTACAGGCAGCATCACACAATCGCAGGCAGACAGTCACACACACATAGTCACATGCAGACAGCCACACATACAGTCACAGGCAGTCACACACACAGTTACATAGTTACATAGCTGAAAAGAGACTTGCGTCCAACTGCTTTCTCTCTCTCCCTTCATCAACCTAATTCCTCTCTCTCCCTTCCTCAATCTGTTCCTTTTCTTCCCTTCGATATCCTCCTGCCTTTGTCCTTTTGCATCATGCTCTTTTGCACCTTGCTTACAGTATCACATTTTCATTATATTACTTCTTCCTTCTCACCTCCTTTATTTATCTCTCTCTATGTCCTTCTTTCTACTCCCCCTATCTCTTCTCTATTTGTCTCCATTTGCTTTTTCCACTCGCTACCTTTGAGTAACCTATAACCTTTTAATTTCCTTCCAGGATAACCCTGAAAACAGGTGGAATGGTGTGTCTTGATATAGACGCCAAGTGGGTTAAAAGACTTATAGAAGCTCTAATTGCGTAAGTTGATTCCACATTATAGGGTTCTCTATATGTTTTTTTTTTTTTTTAATTAAAATGATCTATGCTAAATTAAATTGCTATTTGGCCCAACCCCACCCCCCACATTGAAATGCTGAAAAATAAAACCTTTAAAATGTACCTGTAATCAGCATCAGGCAAAGCTTTCGGCGCCAATCTCCCACTTCCGTCTGACGTCAGCAGGAGCCTCACATGGTTCTCATAAAAAAGCCTGTGATTGGACTGTTTCGCTAGCTCAGAGCACATGCACGTGCTCTTGGACACCGAGGGAATGGAGATAGTAAGTGGGGGAATGCGCCATTGAGGGAAATTAGAAAAAAATGTTTTGCAGGGAAGCAGGGAAGCTGGGAGCACTTACTAAATGAAGGGAAGGGGAATGGAGAACGAACTTCCCCTTACAGGCTCTGCATTTTAACTCACATCAGGCAGCCTGAACAGAGTTCATACAGACTCCTACCAACATGACCACTTCAAATCGCTAAAGTGATCGTGGTGGCTGGTGTAATCCTTTAACATAAAATACAATTGCATAGCAACTGCTTTGACTTTAACATTTAACTAACCTCATCATTCATTTTCTGGGTGCATTCAGCATGAGGAAAATTAAATGGTTATTCTATACACCATGAAATTCAGCGTTTTGAAGTGGTCTCTGTGTTTGGAGGCTGTATGTGCAGTGTTTTTAGTTTGAAATGCTGCATATATTGAGTTATGGCATATTGCTGTCAGTGGTATACCTCCACCTCCAGGAGTGTCATTAGCAGCCCGAGAGTTCTGGGTTGGATAATAATAAATCTGTGCATGCTTAGCAACTATTAGCAGCATGACCAAGTCCTCCCATCAGCCCATCCTTCGGGATGCCCTCATCTTGCTGTAAAGAGAAGTGACATCATGGGAGGATTGGGCTGCAGTGTGAACTTGGCAAGGGATCACAGGTAATGTTACCCTTAATTTCTTTTTTTCGGGAGGTCCATGCCAGTAAGGGTTACTCTAACCAAAAAAAAAGTGTTTTAAAGAACACTGTTTATGGTTGGAGTAAACCTTTATAGCCCCAAGAAACATTTGGTTAATTATTCCATGAATTATTCCTTTAGAAGGATAGCACCACTCCGTTCACTTAAAAAAGAGATGTAATGTCATGCAATAAATGTATGAGTATAATAAATGTAAGACCTTGACCAGTAAAGATAACACAAAATCAATTAAAAGTGGCCTAGTGCATATTTTGCCAGCATTTTTATGACCTCATGTTGCAATTTTATCTATATTGCCCCATGCTTTGCATATAGAGCATTAGTTGATATTGTTTAGATCATTATCTACTTAATATTTTTTCAGTTTGTTCTAGAATTATGTAGTAGGCATCATATTTATTTATTGCATATTTATTCCAGTGGTACAGTCTTGCTGTTAAAATTTTAGAAAACGATTTTATTATATTATATTTTATAAGCTAAACTATTCATATTTTCTTTTATAGGAAAAAAGACAAAGTTAAGTCACAGAAAACAACAAAAGCATCCATTAAAAAGAATTAAATGACCTGACTAAATACATTTATTTTACATTGTCTTTAACCATCTAACAGCATGTATTAGATACTGTGATACACAAACAGTCTTTGGTTTAGACGTCTCTGTAAACCACGTATTTCCTTTAATGTTTTAAACAGACAGTTGACCTGTTAACATAGCACAATATCTTTCTAGGGCCTCGATGTAATATTTTGGGATAAGCTTTTGAACTGATTTCATATTTCTGGGGAAACTTTTAAAATGATTTTTTAGTTTGAAAAATATTTTAATATTGTAATATCTTTTTATATATTGGTCTATTTATTTATATATGATTTAAAAAAAAGATTTAGTATTTCGAAAAATTAATTTTAAAAGCTTATCCAAAAATATTAAATCATTTAAAAATGTTATCCAAAAATATTAAATCGTGGCCAAAGTAAGCCAGATTACTAGTGAAAATCACAAAATCATTGGACTTACAAAGAAATTTAACGTGACTATCACAATAACGTAACATACTTATCGTACACTTGCCCTTCAACTTCAATTTCTGTACCATTTTTTCATGAACTATTCCAATACTCATCTATTATTTTCTAGATAAACGATGTGCTACAGATAGGATCATAGTGTTATCCCATGCTTAAGACATGGGAATTTGCCTCTAAATTCTGTTTTTCAGCCTTGTGTATAAGATTAATTATACAGTACTTTCTTTGATATTGCGCGTTTAGAAACTGGTACCTCAAAATGTACTGTAGACATTTGTTTCATCCGAATTTGCAAAATCTGTTGGTGCTATAATAAAAAAAGAACCTACTGGTGTTTTACGGATGGGAAACTCCTATACTGCTCAAATAGTTGGTGGTGTTATCATCTACCACCTTACTTCCATCTTACTTTTCAGGCTGATGTATGTACATGTGTATCTTTCCCTGTTTCTAACTGATGAACCAAATGTAATAAACTTGCTTTAAAAAACTCTTGGTGTTTTTGTTATATATTGTGCCCAAGTGATATATTAGAGCTGTGTGCATAGTATCTTGAAGAACATTTTTGTATGTGAATATGTCTTGGTGGGGAATATTTAGAAGCACATTTTAAAATTATCTCGAAGCCTATCACAGCAGAAAGGTTTTTTTCATTCTTTAACATCCAAAAGACACAACTCCTACTTGCATATGCACTTAATCTTGGCCAGTGGTAAGTAACATTAGGTACTCCAGATGTTGTGAACTACATATGCCACAATGCACTTACAGCCATAATACCGGCAAAGCTTCAGGGGAGATGAAGTCCACAACATGTGTGGTGCCGAAGGCTGCTTACACCTGATGTAGGCAATGTATTTTTTTCATCATTGGGAATCAACAAATCTGTTTGGAGAAAACAAACATGAGATTAGAGCACAATGTGGTGAGGATTATGGTGAATAATAATACTATACTATTTTTTTTATTTTTTTATATATTTTAGTTATTACTACTAGCATTATATTTAGAATTATTAAATATTTGCTGTGAAATCTTCCTATCACTTATGATGTGCTATGTCATTAATAAAAACAAGGAGGCCAAAAATAAGGAGTCTCTTACTCTACTCACTCAATGTAAAACATTGCTGTTTTGGAGATACTGCAATGTTTTCATTGTGGGGTTAAAACTACCTCTAGTGGATGTCTTCCTGAAAGAAAATAGAGGGGGCTTCGGCAGTGAGAACCAAGTCTAAAGTCAATTGAGGCACCATGGTCCTCTGACACAGTTCGATAGCAAGGTTAAAGTAAATACAGTATGTGGGATTGGGGTATCTATTTCCTGTTCCTAATAACACTTAATAGGATTGTGGATTGACATATTCCAGTAGTAAGTAGTCAAAATGGAAGCACAGCTTACTTGGAGAACTTTTACATGTTGGCTATTTTGGCCTTAAATTTGAAATTCACTTTGAAATCCCGGTGTTGTGTGTGTGTGTAGGATAGTCCTGCTGATGGTGTAGTATGTGTGTGCATGTGAGCAAGGCCCCCATTACACCCCCTCTTTGTGTGTCTTACTTTTTCCCCAGCCCCTTTGTATGTCTCTTCCTCCACCCAGCCCCTTTGTGGATCCCTTTCTTTCCTAAGCCCCTTTGTGTGTTTCATTCCCCCATGCCCCTTTGTTTGTCTCGTTACCCCCCCAGCATCATTGTGTGTCTCCTACTCCCTCATGCCCCTTTTTGTATCTTTCTTCCCTGCTCCTTTGTGTGTCTTTCTACCCCCCTCCCAGTGGCATACATACCACAGATACAGGGGTCGCAGCTGCCGTGCAATACCTTATGGGCTGGTGCACTGCCACACCGGCCCGAAGTCTGTGGTACCCGGGTGTCTAGCAGGAGGGGAGAGCTATGCTGCTCCCCTCCTGCCTGTGTGTAGCATGGCCAGGCGGTCAGACAGGAAGTGTTCACTGTGAGAGCATTTTCTGTCAGACCGGAAACCGTGGCCAGCCAGGCAGTGGCGTACTAAGGGAGGAGGGTGGGAGGGGGGGCGGTCGGCCTGAGGTGTCACTCATGTGGGTGTTCCCAGGGCAGACTGTGTCACCAGGAGGATGCCCAGCAGCTTGCGCGATATGCTGCCGGGTGCGATGCCCCTCCTGCACCCATTGCAGACACCGGTCTGTAGCTCGGTCTGCAGTGTGCAGAGCTGTAGACCATGTGTCTCGCGAGCTCTAATCAATCAGAGTGTTGCCACGGGTTACCACAGCAATGCTCTGATTGTGTCTCACGAGATTCATGGTCTGCAGCTCTGCGGAGCTGCAGACCAGAAATTATGGCCACCGGACCACCGGACCATCAGGGAGCCAAGGTATTTAGTCCATCCCCCCTCTCACATCATCCCCCTCACACCATCACCCCTTCCTCTAAAAATCACCCCCTCCCTCTCATCATCACCCCCCCTCCCTCTCATCACCCCCCTCTCACCATCACCCCTCTCCTTCTCACACCCCCTCTCATCATCACCTCCCTCACACTATCACCCCCCTTCCTCTCATCATCACCCCTCCTCCCTCACACCATCACCCCCTTCCTCACACAATCACCCATCACCCCTCTCTCCCTCTCATCACCCCTCACACCAGCACCCCCTTTTCTCTCATCATCACCCCCCTCTCATCATCATCCCCCCTCCATCACCCCCTCCCTCACACCATCACCCCCTCCCTCACACCATCACCCCCCTCCTCTCATCACACACTCTCCCCTTACCCAGTCCCTTTTGTGTGTCTTTCTCTCAGCCCCCTTGCATGGCTGCATACCTCACTCCATGTAGTGTAGCTGAGCTGACTATGGTAGAAGATCTTTTGTATCCTCTACCCACTCTACATGGAGTGACTGGCAGGAGGGCAGCATTGTGCTGTGTGCCTGTCACTCAGAGCCTGGATGTTATGCTCCACGGACGGTGTGCACTGTGCTGTAGGGGCTGTATTATGTGTTTGTGGGGATGGGGATACAGGCTACAGTGTGTTTTGGGGGATGGGGCTATATTGTTTTTGGGGAGGATAGGGGTTATAGTGTGTGTTATGGAGGAAGAGGGGCTGTAGTGTGTGCTCGGGAGTGGAATGAGTCTGTAATTTGGGTGAGGGGAATTGAGCTGTAGTAACTTTGAGGGAGGGTGGCTGTAGTGTGTGGTGGGCAGTATTCGGGTGGTAGTGCATGTGGGGGGAAATTTGGTCTATATTGTATTATGTGGGGATAGGGCTGTAGTTTATTAGGGGGAAAGATATGTCTGTTGAATGTGAAGAACAGAACGATGGTGCAGCGCCTGATATGTCCTTAGTAATATGTAAATAATAAAAAGAATAAACTGATAGTGTAGTATGTAAAATGCAATTTGAAAGGTAGTAAGAATTGTCCACATTATGTACCTTTAAATGCGTGTTTTAAAAAATGAAAAGGTTGTTTAGTGCAATAGTTAGCAATAAAAATTGTAATAAAATATTCAACAAGGCATTAATAATAATGTCCAATTTGTTGCTTATATTAAGAAGGAGTAGTATAGTCCAATTTGTAACAGTCTTAAAATAGATACAATGTATCAAAAATAGCAGCAGTCTTTAGTATGTACACTGATTCAGTTCACTCCAGTTATAGAAGAACTGGCATCTGGATACTGAGTCAGTTAGTTGATATAGTACAATACATTAAATGGTCCTTATAAATAATAGTAATGATTGTACCTTTATTAGAATAGAAAGGGAAAGTTATTATTAACAGGTCATGGTCAGTGACCCTTAATTAAATAAATCTTTACTCCATCCAATAAAAATAAGCCGTGGAAACTGAAGTGCTGTAATAGTTAAAAATATCCAATATTTATTGTGAAATAATCTTTAAAAAACTTTGCATGGCACTCACACTTTTGTAAAACTTCTTGCTCGATCACAATTAGGTGTAAGCAGCAAATGTAGTCCGATCGCCAAATGAATGAATGAACGGACTCTCCGTGAGCCGCGTGCGTATCACCGGTCTTTGTTCCTGCGTTTTTTAAAAGATTATTTTAACAAGGTGCAGGGCTGCTATATAACTATATAATTATAAATCTACGGAATAAGCATGACTACTATATATAAAAATGTGCACTTCTCTTATATGCCATGACATTGTATAACGGTTTTGACTATGTTGGTTTGTTTTGCTGTCGTGGCATTGCAGACCAGTTTTGTAATTTTCTGCACGAAAAATAAAGAATTTATAAAATAAATAAATAAATAAATAACATAAGGGAAGAATTTCCTGATGCAAACCCTAATAAAATGGGTGACGGCTTTACTGGAGTCTGGGCAAATGAGCTGCCCAGGCAGACCCAGCAAAGAGCGTTAATATTGGCCAGACAGTCAGACTGCCGTAGAAGCCGTCCCTCAGGGATTGGGCATATGTGATGTCATGACATGTGTGGATCATAAGGTTAGGACATTGTGATGTCACTTCATGAGGGGGGCAGTAAATACATTTTTGCCTAGGGTGGCTAAAATCCTTGCACCGGCCGTAGATTTAACTACCTGTTTTTGTGACGCTATCTGGCCAGTCCTCACAGGCATTGGTTCCACTTGCAAGCTGAAAGGAGGTGGTACAATTTCACAGATGTGTTCAGTTTCGCTGGTGTCTTCCGTTTACTGACGAGATCATAAAAAGTACATAAATGGGTCATACTCATACTCCAAACAAATTTACCCCTATATCTACACAGGGCCGTCTTTAATGCAGGGCAAACGGGGCAGCTGCCCCAGTCACTCCTGGGGGGCCCCTACTGATAGAAGCCCACTGGGTGGCCCTGTCGGGTGCTGTGGCCATTTAACAGTACGACCGATCCCTTGCTTTTCGGCAACATGGGAGTAAGTGACTGCCGCGAGTCACTTCCTCCCATAAAGAGAGCAGCTGCGCGGGAGGGAGCAGGAGGAGCAGAGCAGGAGTGAGGAGAAGGCAGTGAGGATGGGGGCTCCTCACTCCCATCAGCCTCAGGCACCACACTGGACCCCAGGGAAGCCATCCTCCAGCAAAAGGTAGGAAACTGGAGGGTGGGTTTAAAATGTTTTTACATGTGTGTCAGTATGTCTGTGTGTGTGTTTCAGTATGTCTGTGTGTGAGTCAGTGTGCCTGTCTGTGTGTGTGTGTCAGTATGCCTGTCAGTGTTTGTATCTATATCTGTCAGTGTATATGCCTGTGTGTGTCAGTATGCCTGTCTGTGTGTGTCAGTATGTCTGTCAGTGTTTGTATCTATATCTGTCAGTGTATATGCCTGTGTGTGTCAGTATGTCTATCAGTGTATATGTCTGCGTGTGTGTCAGTATGTCTGTATATGTGCCTGTGTGTATCTAAGTACGTCTATCAGTGTATGTGTCTGCGTGTGTCAGTATGTCTGTAAGTGTATGTATCTGTGTGCGTCAGTATATCTGTCAGTGTACATGTGTGTCAGTATGTCTGTCAATGTATGTATTTGTGT